CCCCCCCCATGCAGCCCTGTTTGCCTGGTAATCCCTTTTTTTCACAACACTGTCATGCAAATAGTTCAGCAACTTTTGTTTCAGTATGATCTGTGAAAACGTACCATTATTTTTTATACTGGTTTTGAAACTGAGCTCTGCACCAAAGTAGATACTAAAGCCTACAGCAAACACACTGTCCATCACACTGTCACTGTTTAGTCAGACCAAAAGAAGGAGGGCACAAAAGTCAAAAAGGGATAACAGGAAGTTTTTCAATGAGACATTTTATATAATTTTATATAAATGTCTCTCCCTGGTGAAGCACAGAGTCTCTCCAGGGGATGTGGATAACCAGGGGAATGAATGAATATGGTTTGTCTATGAAAAATAACATCTTGATGGTGCCATATCTGACATTTAGCATATCACGGAGTGAAGGGCATGGTTTTAAATATTTGAGAACCTCCAGCATCAACATGGGAAAAGATGAAGAAATGCAAAGAAATGTCTCCTTACCACTGAAGTTTAAGCCTGAGGCCTTTACATTCTCAATCCATATAACCTAAGTGTGTAAGCATGTATGTTTAAACAAGAAAAAGTCTGTAATATCAATATTCACTCCTCTGACCTTTGAAACAGCTGATTGGTTTTCAAATGACACGCTGTTTTTATAATCTGTACAAAAACACACACACATTATCATTAATTTTCCCCCTCAGCATCAGAAAATAATATTAATAATAATAACCAGAAATAATCCCACCTGTCAGTGCACGGGACTTATTGACAGAAAATCTGCTGTAGCCCGTACAGGTGTGTAGTTTGGCATTACAGTAGATTTGAGCCATACAGCGTCACAAATCAGATTTTTACTTTTATTTTCTTAATGCATTAAAGCTCACTTTGTGGGAAACATTTATTATTTATTTATTAAATTCACATAAGATCAAGCTATTCCGATTTTTATTGCAGCACTGGTGCAGTGTTGGCCCTTCATATACATATCACTACACTCCTTACATCTCCATCATTTCAAGACTCATCTTCTTGAATTTGACCATTCAGGCTATTGAAGCAAAATGAACACGTGTGGAAATGTGCACACCTGTGTGCATAAATGTGTGTGTGTGTGTATGTGTGCATAAACATTGCACAGTTCCATTTTAATATAAAGTCTGCGTGGTTGAGCAGGAGAGAGAGAAAGAGAGAGGAGGAGGAGGAGGGTTACTGTGGTGGTCATTAATCATTCAATTACACACCTGTCAGAGTTCAGACAAGTAGGAGAGATGGGGAGGGGGAGGGAGTAACAGAGAGAGGGGTAGAGAAAGAGAAAGGAATGGAGGAATGCAGGGGGGGGGGACTGAATGACAAGGGGGGAATGTAAAATCTCCACGAGGGTTAAAAAGAGAAAAGGAGAAAGTTTTATTGTGGGCGTGTGAATGAGCTGTGACAGAGTAAAGCTGTTGTACGGTGATGGTTAGTCAGAGGCTGCAGTAAAGACAAAGGACCCTCACGCGCATCATAGAGGGACAAGAGACATGTGAGGACAGGGAAGAGCACGGCAGTAAAGATGCTCTGCTGTTCAACGGGATCGCTTTGCTCAAAGTGAGACATTACAAGGTGCACTGTGGGAGTTATGAAAAGCAAAGGAGGGGGAAAGAAGTATATCTTTATTAATAATTCAATTCAATTTTATTTATACAGCACCAAATCGCAGCAGCAGTCACCTCAAGGCGCTTTATACTGCAAGGTAGACAGAGCAAATCCCAAAAATCATATGACCCCCTATGAGCGAGCACTTTGGTGACAGTGGGAAGGAAAAACTCCCCTTTTGACAGGAAGGAACCTCCAGCAGAACCAGACTCAGGGAGGGGCGGCCATCTGCTGCGACCAGCTGGGGTAAGACGGTGAATTATTTTTATTTACTGTCTGCACTCCCTGTCTATGTAATGTATCACATTAAATCAACTTACTGTACTACTATCGTGTTAATATAGTGAAGAAAAACTACAATATTTAACTGAGTAACTGAGTCACTATGTAGTTGTGTTAAGTAATATATAATGCAGATATTTGAGGGAACATTAATAAATCAAACTTTGTTTTCCCGTCCTTGTTTCTTTATATGTGTGTGTGCGTGTGTGTGTGTGTGTGTGTGTGTGTGTGTGTGTTTGTGTGTGTGCTGTGTGTTGTGTGCGCGCGGGGAAACGTGCGTGTCGTGTCCGCTGCGTGCGGTGCTGTGTCGGCCGTTTTAGCCTGCAGTATCTCAAACTCCTCAGGACCACAAGCCATCTGTGCCCCTCCACATCCCTGCCTTACCTCTTCTTCTTCACACACACACACACAGCACACACACACACACACACACACACACACACACACGACACACACACACACAACACACAGACACACACATACACACCACCACCACCTCTGCCACTGCCATATATCTAATTTATGGCAGTGGTGAGTGAGTTACACACACTCATGTATGCATAATATATCACATATGTGAAAGGACTATGTGTGGGAGAATGACACGTACTGGCCATGTATGGTTTGGACCACAACTCTATCTTCAGCACTTCTTAAAATATTGCCCATGTGTGTACGTGTATGTATGCATGTGTGTGTGATATAGAGAATCACTACAAATGTGATTCAGTGTGTATCGCAGCATTTCTTGCTCTGTCCACCAACTATCACATACTGATAGTATGTGTAAAGAAAAAGTGTGTGTGCGTGTGTGTGTGTGTGTGTGTGTGTGTAAAGGCCCAGCTGTTTCTGGGCTTGCCATCCACATGCAGGCAGAATGCCAGATGTCTCATTAGGTAAATTTGATTGGCTCGGTCATTTAGAATGCAGCGATGAGACGGTTCCATATGTGCATGTACATGGAGCTGTGTGTGTACATTTACATGAGAGGCCCTCTGCATAACTATTCACATGTGTACACGCTCAATGTATGTGCATTTATTAAGTATTGTGGTAACATTTGAATTTACAAGCTGTTAATTATATTATAACAACAAAAATAGCAATGTAATAGCATAAATGTATCATGAATCATAGGAAAATGTACAAGAACAATAGCTACAGACTGTAGATTAAATTACAATAATGAATTTAAATTCTACTTTAGTTCTTACAAGAATTCAACTGTCCTTTCCACCTTTTTTTTTATTTAGCATTTTTATTAAGTTTTATTTATACAGCATCAATTCAAAGCACTTTATATTGTAAAGTTCCTACAATAACTGAAATAAACCACAACCATCACATGACCCCCTATAAGCAAGCACTTGGCAACAGTGGGAAAGAAAAACTTCCTTTTAACAGGAACATACCTGCAGGAGACTCGGGCTCAGGGAGGTGCAGCCATTAGCCGCAACCAGTTCGTGGTAAGGGGAACAAGAAGAGAGCAGAGGAAGACAGGATGAAAGGTAAACTATGGGAGAAAAAGCCAGAGTTTAATAATAACTAATGATTAAATACAGAGTGGTGTATAAACATAGAAAGCAAAAAAAGATGAGCGAAGAAGAAATCATGGGAAACCCCTAGGAGCCGAGGCCTATTTATGACTCCTTTTATTTTAATTTTTAACTGTGCTATTTTTCCACTAAGTCTACTTTAAGTGAGATGCTTCAGCCTTAATTTTTAGTTTATTAATAGCCACTTCTCAAGACTAAAAAATAGCTGATGTACCAAAAACTAGATTTTTGAATGACCACTTGAGGGTGGCTCCAAAAGTGAACCACAAACTGCCATGTGAAATGTCAAACTTTATACAGCAGATTTAATGTGTTTTCAGCTGTATGGGTTTCAGAAGCTGCATTTTAGAAGTAGACTGTAGAGGCTCTAACTTACTTACTTACTTACTTTAAATTGTGCGATATTAGGCCTGTGGCCACTTCCTGACTGGGTTCACCTCAACTTATTTAAGTCAATAAAGTCTTTGCACTTTTCAGTGCAACAGTTTAACAAATGAATTGGCTCAGCAGTGACGCAAATTTGGTAAATTTGGTTCTAGTATCTTATGTGTATACGTCTTAGCACTCACGAGCAGTTTAATGCATTAATCCTGTCTATGGATGCACCTTACAAACCAAGTTAGCATTAGCTGACAGCTTACCCCCAACCCCCCGTGCCCGGTGCTGAACCGCCACCTGTCACTCTGTTTTTACAGGTGCTTTAACTTGACTTACACATTTAATGTCAATGACTAGCCTAACGTACCTCCTTTCAAGTCTCCTTTCAAGAACCTCTTCGAATGTAACTTGCAAGTATCTTTTCATTATCACTTCAACTGCAACTTTTACAGACATGCCATCTCCCTTACATATATGCAAATTTGGTTTTGACTCCTTCCTTTCAGTCTTGTAATTTCAGTTGTCATTTTCAGCTTTGTCTCATGACCAATGATTTATTCCTTACTTACCTGTTTGGTGCTATAGCTTCTGCTTCTGCTAAAGATTATACTGTGTCAAAAGAGGCACACTATCACTAGTATTAGTAGTGGTAGCACAGTGATTTTAACTTATGTAACTTAGTTTAGTTTCAGCTTCCTCTTCAAGAAAGCTCCAAAGCCACCCACCAATCAAGGGGCTAAAAGCTGTTCATAACAGAGAAGGTTGAATGCTGCCCTCTAGTGGCCCAAACTGCGGATAAACTTTACTGTAGTGTAGAGATAAGTGATAATGGTGCTACTGTAATTGCTTTTTGTGGGGAGTCTGTGGATTTAAAGTGTTTGTGCATTACTGTGGAGACCAGAAACAACATAGCACATGCCTTTGCAGCAAAATGCTGTTAGAAAAGAGCCTGAGACAGAATTGAGAAAATCAAATGATTCAGTTTTATTTATTGATTAGTTTAATTTATTGCCACTTTAGGACGAAAGGAAAAGACATGCCCATAGCATTGTCAAAATGTTACTGTTAACACCATTTAACGCTATTAACAAAATTAATAAAGTTAGCAACAAGTCCAAGTAGATTTTAGCATTTCATCCTGGAGCAAGCTTCTGCAATAATAATAATAATAATAATAATAATAATAATAATAATAATAATAATAATAATAATAATAATAAACTCTATGAGCAACACAAAGTGGGACTGCATTTACCTGGAAATAGCCGTCTGTTGTAGGCGGTGCTAAAAAGAGCAGAATAAACTGTACAACCTAAGCCTAAGACTTTTTTAGACCTTAATGACTTCACTCTTTTGGCAGGCTACTGCTTTAATATGACCACATTTAGAAATGTCGAATGATACAAGTTTAAATTAATCAGCATGAAGGATTCCAACCCAGGGCACATCTTACAAAATGCAACCACTTCCTGGTCGGGGGGTTTAGGAAATGTGATAAAGCAACTGTATCAAATACATCGCTTATGTTTAATATATACTGTTAATTGATCAATGTGATCAATTACTAGATTTAACCCCCCGGAGTATGAGGGGGAACACTGATCTATGTCACACACTGATGATGGTGGCCAAATAAGCTCCCATTAAGCAAGTCTCTAGTAACAAGTGTTGTCTTTACAGCTCACTTATGACATTAAACTTGTTGTCATTTAGACCAGTGCTTTGAATCTTTTTGGAGTGTGACAAGAGAGCGGTATCCATGTGTGACACCCCTTGTTACACTTTAGAAGAAAACAGCTCAAATTTAAGAAATGTCACTTTAGTATCTCATTCATCCTCTCAACTTGTGACCCTCCAGCTTTATAATGAGACCCAAGAGGAGCCCCAATCCTCAGGCTGAGTCAGGCACACGTTCACCTTAACTGACACCATGGTATTAGTGACACATGCTAAAAGGTTAATTTACCTCTTTGCAAGAATTTCAACAGGTGTGAAATAGCTTTGACCAGTAAGAACATTTTGAGGGTCTTTGACCTTCTCCTGACGACGTGCATCTCATTATAATGCTCTGTGGTCCTCCTCTTTTCCTTCACCAGAAGTCTGGCTATCTTCCTGTTTGCTTGCTGTTTCCTCTTCCTGTGTCACAGGTTGAGAGTCTGAAGTTGGACTAGTAGGCTGTGATTGGTCATTGGCTCCTTGTTCCCTCCCTGTCTCCTCGCTCAGTGTCTGCAGAGCCTCTGTGTTGCGTTCTTTCTGTTCCTGTGACCCCTCCATACTAACAGATGCATTTTCATTTTTGCTTTCATCTTTACTCCCGTCCCGACAAACCTGCCTCCGAATAGTCCGTCTGTGCTTGCTGCGACGCGACTGGTTACAGTGCAGTGTGCGTCTGCGATGCCACTGATTGAGAGACTGTTGGGCTTCCACACTGAGCTGACGGGCAGCCAGTCGTGGGCGGAAACTGCTGATGTAGTAGAGAGAGGCATATAGAGTTGTAAGGTAGTAGCCACCTGTTGATATGGGGATATAGAAAAAGGTGACATTGAGTGAGAAAACCTATAAGCAGGGGGGAAACTACAAAACTACAACTACAAAGTGTCATCATAAAGTTCCACACATGTAGGGGGGACTGATTAAACCCAAAGCTTAGCCCTTGGGAGTACACTAAATGCTCATATTTGTTTGTTCTTTGCTCTGTGTGACATCCCAGGCATACAGCTCTGAGGCTGCGAGAACAGAAACACCACCCACTTGCTGTTTCCTGTGTGCGAGGGGCAGCCAATCAAAAGAAAGATCACTTAAACAAAGGGGAGCTAAAACTGTTTTTTTTTCAGACAGCTGAAAAACTAAAGGGCTGCACCAAGGACAAAATTAAGAAAAAGTAAGGATTATTTTAAGTATGCAATGCCATATTAGTAGTGCAAGAATAAAATTATAAGGGTAAGGCCCTCTATAGTCTATAGTCATCTTTAGACTTTAAAAGGCCATACTTTTTAAGTTCATGTACATCCAATCATGTGCAGTCAGGATCTTGGAGGACTACACGAGAGCCACTCCTCCATCAAAATTTAAACCGGTATGCAGATGAACACATTTGCAGGACTATAAAAAAGGCTTCACTTAAAAGAATAAGCCCTTAGTCACGTGGGCCTGGAGACCAGTGAGCAGCCATCATTAGGGAAAAATGTGCAAAGCCATTACTAGCAGATTGTTAGAGTTCCATGAAAAATGCGGACCTGTGTGCAAACATTTGCTGTTCACTCCCTGAGTAAACACATTTTAGCCCAGTTTCTTACTTTGCACAGTTTATTTACATTTATCAAGGAGTAAACACACATGTAAACTACTGGTGACTGCAGCAATCTGCTAGCCACCAAAGCAATCCCTTTGACCAATTCATCCTAGCAACTTCCAGCATCCACTCACAACCAGTCGGGGAATACACACTTTCCTCTCACAACTGATGATTTCCAGATAGTTGTTGACCAGGCAAACATAGGCATTACTGTCAGAGTGTGTTAGCAAGTCACTTACTAAGTTTCTGAGTAAAGTCAGAAAAACTTCTATTTAGTTTCAAACATGATTTACTCAAATGGAGCATCACACTTCCTCTACATTGTCCTTGAATTATAACTGGCTTACCCTCTCCTTGTAGCTGTGTGGGATCCAGCAGTTCCATCATGTAATCTGTGTCTACCTGCAAGGTGACCAGGTTGCTACGGAGCAGCACCCACGTCAGGCAGGGCAGGAAATCATCTGCTCCATACACTTTACCTGCTGTGAGGAGAACATGACTTTAAGTGGATATAACAACCAAGCGACTCAAAGTAGAAGAGTGGTATTTACGAAACACTGCCAGGCTACCTGAGCTAGCATTGGCACTCATGCTGTGATAGATGCTCTTGCAGACTTTGAGCATGATCTCCACTTTCTTGTTTGGAGAGTAGACATCGTGCATATTATTCCATTTCTGCTGGATACGATCAAGCGTGACGGAGTCAGGAACTCCAACTCCTGCTGAACCTCCTAGTTCAGTCACCTCGTTCTTTTCCAGCAAGCGCAGGTTGCTCTGGAGACGCTCGAAGGTGCCATCATTGGTTCGGGAGGTTTCTATGCAGGAGTAGAGGTGGCTGGAGACAGGCTTCAGAGCCACTTTGTGGATGGAGAGCTCCACCAGGGTGTCTACACCAGGATCAAAAGATAGCAGAGGGATAATTATTGGAGCACTAAGCGTTCAACCACAAGGTTTTAAGAATGCAAAATATATATTCTGTCATTTATGCTGACAACAAAAACCTAAAATCATTTCTGTGTTATGTCACAGCCCACTCACCAATCTCTGAGTCGTTTAAGTCAGTTATGCTTTCCAGTAACATCTGGATTTCTGCATATTCCAGCAGTGTCTCCCTCAGTGATGTGAGTGATAATCTCACTTCCTGTAAGAACTCCGACCCTGTGACACCGCTAGAATCAGTCCCTCGCTTCGATGTCATCTCCACAAATCCCTTCACAGCCTCTGCGAATGCAGCACCTTTCTTCTCACTCAGCTCTTGCACACGATTGGACAGTCTTTTTCTCTGGCTTACCAGCCCACCCAGCGCCTGGCCCACGGCAGAAAGGCGATGTAGGACCTTATCAGCCAAACGGTGTGCTGAAGCGTGGTGATGTGACGAGCTTAGCATCTGGGGCTCCATCTCTTCCTCTATGCTGCTGATTGAAAGCGAGTCAAGCTCGAGTGATGGAGGCTGGAGCAAGGAAGAAGGCCTGGGTGGAGGCAGCCAGACGCCATCCTCAATCCAGGACACCCTGTGAGGAGACTGAGGCACGGGGCTGCTGTGGCGCTGCAACTCAGGTGTTCCATTTCTGGGGGTGGAGGAAGTGGATGAAGGTAGGCTCCCCGTGCTCACCCTCTGAGGCTGGGCGATTACTAAATCCCGACTGGGCCGCCGGAGGACCACCCCTGCTGGTGTTTGCTCAGTTGGTGCAGAATCAGCGGAACAGGCTCTGATTAAACCTGAATAACATCACAGTTTTTTGCAATGAATTTAACTGATCCCACTTACTGATATCACGGTGACATAAACAGAAAGACAGGACTGGCATTTTAACTATTTCTGAAATATGATGTACCTCTGAGACTGACAGTCTCAAAAACAACCATAGGAATTAGTTTTGTCCACTTGCTACGCAGGGCTAACTTGTCAGAGCTAGCAATTAACAGTGTGGTCAAGCCAAATATATGTGCAAGTGTGGAGCAAGACGACAGAACAGCTGACGATGATTAAAGTGTTTTAATAAGTGCTAACCCACATGAATGCTTTTTGTGGTGATATTTCCATTTAGTTTTAAAAGCTCGCACAAAGCCACTTCCTGTTTGCACCAGACACAGTGGATTTTTTTCTCCCCCTGACTTGCAGGAACAGCATACTCTCTGTGGCCCAGGACTTCCTGATTTAGAAACTCCTAACTGTGTTTTTGCCTCTCACACACTTCAGCAGAACTGACCAGGACTGCATGTACAAAATGTATGGAAAACACAGTTACGAGTTTATTGGTAGGCTTATTTTTTATAAAGGGAAGAAAAGGTTTTTAGGGGTTTAAACAGTGCAAGGAGAGGAACTTTAAGTTCAAAGCATCTCCTGATCTGGATAGATAGAAGCATTGTTTTCAAAACTGTGAGGGGAAATGAAACTACACTGTCTAACATTGCTGTTCAGAACTGAGGAAGCTTTTTTTATATTGGGTGAAATCTGAAGTTGGTGCACTGACCTGAGCTCTCTGTATTGGGAGCAGGGGTTTCTTGCTCCAAAGAGATGGCTCGTTTACTTTGTAACCCTGCGCCTGCCCATTGCCGGGTGGTGCTGAGGCGTCTGAAATTTGACGGCTGTGCGGCAGCTGGCCTGTGGGTCAGCCACTCGTCTCCGTGTTCACGGAGGTAGAGGGGATTGATGATACACAGGGCCCCGTTTGTGGACGTCAGCTAGTGAAAAAAACACATACATACAGTGTTAACAGGATAGAACGCAACATTGGTTACACAATAGACACATATAACCACTTTAGAAAGTTAAATTATTCTTAATTTAAATATTCTTGTGGGCACCTGAACATTATTTTGGAGTGGTGCTTCTGGTTGCATGATGAATGTTCTGTTTCTGAGACAATTACCAGGCTATTGATTTACCCACTGAAGGAAGTAAAGACACCATTTCCCCTTAAGTCCCTCCCCCTCCCTCACAAAAATCTATACACAAGTAGATAAGCAACATACCTGTATGGAGCACATCATGCTGCTTGGTTCCCTTTGGGACATTTGATCAGTCTGTTGATCAGGCGGTGTGGAAAGCCAAGTTTCTGCAACAGAGATATCAGTGAAATTAGCTGACAAGGCTCCTCAACACAGTTTTGTATTGTTTTGTTGAAGATTATGAAAGGCAAAAGCTCAGGAAGGCCCGGACGCACTAGGTTGAAGCTGTGAAAGACGCTCTTTTTTTGTGTCTGTTACGCTGTAGATCCAGCGAGGAATGTGGAGACAAACATCCAGCACATCCCTGAAACACAGAGGGAGAGAGATCCAAGAGATAAACAGACATGATTTGGTTAAACACAGGTTCGAACAGTCTTTCACAACGTCCACAGTTCCACCAATAACCAAGCATGGTGAGTTTTTTATGTAGCTGAGACAGGAGATTCTTACCTGGTCAGAGAGTAGAAGAGCACCAGCTGAGTCAAGTCAGAGAAAGACAGATGAGACTCAGACAGTTGGAAAACTGTCAGAGAGAAACAGAAAGAGTGGGCAGCTTTAGTCTCATTCTGAAATGCTCTGGTGAAAAATACTTTCCTGGAAATGCACCAAAGTTTATACCAGAAAAAAACTAAAAGGGAACTTAAGATAAGCCAGCGTTAGGGTTTCACATATTTCCACAGTAGCTTTACAGCTTGATTATTTCCTGGCAGTGTGTGGTTTGTAAAGCCTGACGAGGGTGTTGCAGGCTAGAGGAGTCAGATGACCCTTTAGTGTTTGATTTTTTTTTATTTTTTAGATACATCATGTAGATCAGTAAGTGGAAAAGTTTGGTAAATAAATAAAATAGGACCAGAGTTTTATGTTTTAATCTGCATCAATCTACAATAACTGCCATGTCTGCAGGTACACAAACATGAGAAGAGAAAGTGCAACCATGACGTTACTAGGTTATTTTCTATTTATCGGTTCAGTTTGACAGAAGTACTGACTCATAAAATAACCACTAAAAATGACGCAGGGAAATTGGTAGCTTGGTCACACAGACACACACACACACACACACACACACACACACACACACGCACAGATGTTTGCATGTGGCGGGATCCTACCTGCTCCTGTGCATTTGATATTATAATCAAAGACTTCCTCATTCTGCGCTCCGGCAGACACACATAGCAGGCTTGGCTGAGACGTCACAGAGTCCCGCACAACCAGGAAACTCTGCAGGGAAACACACGTGTGACTCATTTAAAGATTTCAACTGTCACAGAAACCTGTTAAGCAGGAGAACGTTTACTTTTAACCCTCTCAGGCTCAAATTAAACTTTTTGTTGCTAATGCACAACCAAGTCCTGCAGTGGTACTTCTGAGTAAAAAAACCTCATAAAATATGTATGTGGGGTAATCAGGTTGTTAGTTTTTAACTGTTGCAAATCGGCAACGCCTGCCTCGAGAGGGTTAAATGTTCACGCTGGCAGGCTACAAGGCGTGGCCAGATGGTAAGCAGGCAGCAGTAAGAGAACAACTGAGTGATGGATGGACACAGAGAGAAAAAAAACTATTTTAGCGTGTGGTTTACAAAGAAATGTGTCAGAATTTCTGTGACAAGAGTCAAATGATTTGATCTCGACGTGACAGAGCGTCATGCACACTGCAAATGTCTAAGGGCTCATGCATTAAGTGCTGATAAGTGTTTGCTTGCCCACTCAGAGATGCTGATATGAATCTGTAGATGATGGTTAACTCTGAGTGACGAACCAGTGTGGCTTAAGACCGCTCACATCACATGATTTTCTTTAACCATGTTCTATTCTTCATGTTTTATTTTGCGCATGCATCAAAACTAAAACCTGAAACTGAGCCCCACAACACTGTTAGTGCCCAAATCCATCTTCATTAAAACCAATCAAATCCTATACAAGAAAACCTTGAAAACCGAGGGTTTCAAAGAGTGGCCCACAGGCCGGTGGCAGGACTCGTTCATATTTCATGCAGCCCTTGAGTCTGACAAGAAGAGAGAGCTCTCTACTGTGCATTTTATTCACTCACAGTTCACACCACATGTGTGATACAGCAGCACACACCACGACCCCAAAGATGTTGTTTCTTTTCTAGCTTCTGTTTTAGCCATCAGAGCCGACTAAACTGTCTTAACTCATGGTGGAAAAACTAAGTACAAGAGTGGACTAAAGTAAATAAACACAAATGCTAACACAAAATGCCACCATCTTCTGAACAACCATAATCATAACGATAACTAAAAGAGTTTTATGTGTGTAGTTTCCTGCCCAGCTTTCAACCATGTGCTGACTCCTTAAACTAGCACTCAGGGATACCTGCAGCAAAGAAATATGTCGTGCAGAAATAGACTGTAAGTTCAGGGTAATTTATTACTGTAGAAGTACAGGGTTATTATACAGTAATAGGGATTATTAACAAGTAGAGATCATTTATGACAGTCTTCTCCGGTGTGGCATCCTATTAAATTCACCTAAAGACCGTGCAATGCTCAGAGAAACTGCAGAAAACCCAAGAGCTAAATCTAATACCGACACCTCAGTTAGCACTAAATGATACAGTACGATTATAAAAGGACTGAATGGCTTGTATGGAACAGTTGCCAGGAGAAACCAGAGCTTAATTTTGCAAAGTTGGATGTGAACAAACCACAAGACTTCTGGAACAATGTTCTCTGGACAGATGAGACCAAAGTGAAGGTGATTGGCCGTAATGCACATCGCCACGTTTGGCAAAAACCAAACACAGCTTTTTTAGTACAGAAACCTCATACCAGCTGTCAGGCACGCTGGAGGAAGGGTGATGATTCGGGCTTGAGAACTGGATACTTTGCATTACTGAACTCCTCTGCAAGTATTTTAGAGTCAAATGTGAGGCCATCTGTCTGACAACTAAAGCTTGACCCAGAGTGGGTCATGCAATAGGACAATGATCCCAAACACAGCAGTGAATCTATGACAGAATGGCTGAAAAAGAAGAAAATGAAGGCATCGGAATGGCCCAGTCAAACTGCCCACTCTCTGTGTGACTTTATTAGTTTGAAGAAAGACTTCTGCTAAAGGTGGGTTTACAAGCTAATGAATCATAGGATGTACTTTCTACTTGATGTTATAGAGCTGATAAACAATGACAGTATGACATTTGTTGTCGTTCATGTGAGGTTGCATTTGAATAATTTGAAGACCTTCTAAAGAGCAGATGATCTTTATATGTGCTGACATGCAAAACCTTAGCAGTGAAAGTGGCTGCACTTTCTTTTTCGCATTACTGTGAATAGGGTCTTGCAGTTAGGGCATTTATTTTTAGGTTCTTACTCTCAGATCATATCAAACTCATTCCGTCTTTAAACGTGCCTTGTGACTAGCTTTTGTAAAGGCCTCATTGAATCAGGCACTGCTGTAACTCGAGCGGGCTAACGTGATTCATGTATTTTAACTTAGATGGTATAAAAATGTACAAGAAACAGGATCAGTTACAGTCAGTGATGAGGCTAAAACGTTGTACTGCTGACTCTAGCCTCGTCAGTGATGGTAAAAGACTAATCTTGTTCTTGGTATTTGTCCACTTTAGAAAAAAATGTGAAGTGTTTCTGTTTCTGGTGTGAATATCTCAAGAGGCCCTGTCACTTCTTCATGTCTCCTTTTATACACAGAGCTTTGCTTTGTCTGCACAGAGACTTGCATCGATCACGACGCCTTTTTTGGAAGCAAAGACAATAAAACGGCCAGTTGAGACACAATTAACTTGAGTAAAGCAAAACGCATGTAATCCCAGGCAACGGCTCTGTCAAGTAGTTACATCACCACAGCCAAATTCAAAGGTGCTCTTTAGACCAGCACACATATACAAACATGTACAGAGGAAGTGGTTTTCAGGCTCTGTGTGTACAAAAATAAAGACTGACAAGCTTACTTGAAGTCACCAAACTCTGAGCACAGAAACACACCGAAAGACAGCAAAAACGGCGGCAATTAGGAAAAATATATCTTCCACTGATTCATAACAGCCATCTTACTGTTTGCCATTCATAAAAACAAGAAGAAATGAGTCAATCAACCCTCCCTTCCAACATCTGATTGAACAAAAGTCGACTACAACCTCCACAGCATTCTGCTTATCACATTATGCCAGTAAACTTGTCTCTTAACACTTAATACAAAACAAAAAGCACACTCCTCCTCCATAACACATTTGTCACGGTTCAACGACTTGTTGCTGCCAGTCAGAGTTTTGCATTTCAGTGTAATTGTCTCCATGTCACGCTTTATAATAACCAAGAACAATGAATACATAAAGCATCATACGTTGTTACTTTGTTACTTACATTCCCTGCGAGTGCAGCAGCCAAACCCACCATGAAATGTCATTTCCCTGACATGAACTCGCTTTTATTCAGCACTACTTCTGCATTTAAAACAGTTCGTTGTGTTATCAGACCTCAAATAGAAAAAAAAGAAGGAACTACATTTAAGTGACGAGTGCATGTCAACATTCAGACCCACAAAAAACACTTGGTTGCTAGAGAAAATTTAAATGATGCCCGCGACTTCGAGCTTGGGAACGCAAAAAGCAGCGAAACTGGGAGAGGAAGCAGAAGAGAGGACACACTGGGAAGTGGGAGACACTGGCGGGAAACTGAGAAAAAAATAAAGAACTAAGATTTCTTTTTTTAAAAAATAGTCTAAAAGTAAATGCAAAGTAAGTAAGTCATTAAATGTAAAGTTGTTTTATTGCATAAGAGTTGTCAAAATTGAATCGACTGAGTAGCAGTTGATTAAACTGGTCAAATTCTAATAAAATATGACTATCAAGTGGGCTGTTATAGCAAATGCCGTAATGGTCCAATTGGGAAAGTGAATCTGTTGGGCGTTTTTTGGCCATCGGACAACGATTCTGATCGCCACACTGCCAAATAGGACGAGGGGAAAGAAAAAAAAACTGAATCTCAGGCAAAGACTAAGATCAAGGACCTGTTAGGAAACAGAGTCATTATTTAGTGTTAGTGGGAAGCTTTACAGGGAGATCCTTGAATGATTTGATCAATCATCTGGACTTCATTTGACACACACTGGACGCTTGATGTCACATAATAACAGCGAGAGTCATTCAGTGATGTCTGCTCCTACCCCAGCAGGTGTCCCACAGATAGCAGCGTGAGCCCCCTCTCTGTCCCAGGCTCCCCCGGGGCACCAGGCCTCCTGGCAGCCTTTCAGCTGATCCAGCAGTGACAGTTTCCTCCTGCTGCTCCTCCATGGGATGGCTGTTGTCCCATTAACTGAACTGTGAACAGCCCTGGACACAAACACATTGACATATTTTTGTCTACATCTATGGACATCAGCTGTAGATAATACAGAAGGTCCATTCAGTAAAAAAGACAATCTGGGTAGTTAACAGTGCATAATTCAGCAAAAAAAAGTATACAAAACTAAGAAAGTTTCCTCTAAGATTTGGCTTCTTGGACAATCATTTTTAATAACTAGACATCAAACTCAAGACAATGTTAGACAGAGAATTAAACACAAGCACATTAGTGGTATAGAAATAGCTGATACTCACATGTGTCGAGCTGGCTCGGTTAGTTGGCGTATCTTCCCTCCTTTACACTGTTAGCAGTTTCTACACATATTGCAATCTTCCCACTCTTGAACTCTTCCTTTCTGCGCAGTGCAAAGTGTTGCTTAAGAGTTCAGAATAGCTGAAATAGGAAGCTGTCATCTTTCTCACTAACACGTCGTCAAAAGGTTTAGCGGCAAAATTTTCTTAAGTTTATCAAATTCAGGTATTTGATGTACGGCACTCATGCTCGCCTGCTTCTGCCTCCTGCTCACGCTGGCATTTAATGTAGTTTCAATTTTCATGTGAATGTTCACGACACCTTCTTCACCCTTCCCTCCCCCCTCCAAGTCTGCCTGTGGTTAACCCAGCTCTGACTACAGCGTGGAGAGAGAGAAAACACTGCATGTTCTCTAAAGAGCTATGTGCCTATTTTCTTACTCTCTCTGCAGCACCTTTCTTCTGATCCAATTCTGAACTGTAAAACCATCAAAGCTAAGAACAGCCAATGGTCTGAGAATGCTTCACCATGTCTTCATCTCTGTGACAATTATAGACAAACATCATCTCATTAAAGTAAGATCACACGGATGGTTTTACTTTTCATGTGTGAGAACTCGCTCACAGCGGAGGATGGACAAAGTCATTGAGATTCAGTTCCAACAACTGGTGAGAAATGCTGAGTGTGGGATGAGTAAATGGATAAATAAATAAAAGCATGCACAGTGAAATTATTGAAAAAGTCTGAAAGATCGATTAGTGATATAAACGTTTTTTTTGTTGTTTTTTTAAAGACCAGATTATAAGAAATATACAATAAGAAAAATGTACACAAATGAATTTAAAGCTACTCTACTTCTTGTCAGAGTGTGGCCTTTAAAGCCTGATTTTCTTGGAGTTCCTGGGCTGGCTGATCCCTCTGGATCCACCCCTGGATGAAGTTTCACCTGGTTTCCTCCTTCCTACCTGTCGTCATTGCCAATATGGTGAACTTTAGGTCACTTTTGTAACTATTATTGTTGTTTATGATCATCTGTCTGTAGTAATCCTGTCTCTCTCCCTGCTCCCAGCTCTCTTGGAAATCTTGCCTCCTTGGAAACACACTTGTCAGCTGCCTGTGGAAACCTCCAGCTCATCACCCACTCTCTGTAACGTGTCAAGAAGAAGGAGGACTCACCTGATCACCAGCCTGCCCACCCTCTGCCTGTTGCTAGCTTTTGGCTTGCCACCTGCCACCCACAGACGCCCTCCATGACTTCATTCATGTACAGTACAAGTGTTGTAGCTACATTTACATTTTACAAATTCTCTGTCAATGCCTCTTCTGAACTGCTGTTAACTCTGTATTTCCTCTCTGGCAGAGCTCCTCTCCACTAGTTCTTCACAGTGATCACAACAAGAGCGCAACAAGCTACCCTAAAACAATCCAGTGGTAAAAGCAATACACCTGCAAATATCAGGTGAAGGATAAAATGCTCTACAAAAATTACCGAAGTGTCTGAATGTTCCACCGCAGCTACGGGACGCTGTTCTGTGGGTAGACGAGCGATAAGGAACGCTGTGTTCAGAGGAAGATAGCACAGCACACCAACATGAAAACCTCACTCTAGCTGTGAAGCACGGTGGAGGGAGCATCATGGTTTGTGGCTGCTTTGTTGCCCCAGGTTGATGGAAATCGTGCATTCATCGAGGCAACAATGAATTTTAATTGCATTAAGAATTCTTCATAAGAATGTGAACAAAGTATAAAGCTGTGGAGAGTTTTGGTGACAATCACCCAAAGCATGAAAAGTGGACCAACCACAGTATGGCTGATAAAGAAAAAAAGTAGCGCTAAACAGTGTTTTGGCATTTCCAGCACAGACCTGACCTCAGCCCAGCGGTTCTCAAAGTTTGTCTGGCGTGCCCTACTTTAGACACTGAAAATAGTTCACTCGCCACACACACTAACCCCACAGTATTTTATAAACCATTATCAATTAAATTAAATTCCAAAATGTTGATTTTGTTCATTTGGTACGTCCAGATCAACAGAACCTTTTGGGATTTCCTTACCTGAATGATTGAGTATACATTTGTGGTTAATATTTCCTCTTCACCTCTTTGTGGGTCACATAAGCATCTACAAGACACATCCGATGGAGGTTTTGCTGCTAAAGGAGGTGCAAGTAAGCAAACCTAGTGTAGTTTACTCGCTTTTGCCAGCCTGTTACGTGAGTGATTATATAACATGTTCAAGATCTGAATGGATTAATTTAGTCACTTTGTCCATATTTGCACCTTACGGCTAATTGCATTTTAAATAACCAGTGTATAAATACTGGTAATTCAAAATCAGTTGCACTTTTTCTTGCAACTTTATTTAGAAAAATAGAAGTATTGGAAGTAAAGACTGGGCTGAACATGTCTGAGGCTATTTTCTGTCATGGTACCTGATCTCAGCCTTACGAAGAAACCACAGACTGAGGTGTTGCTGTTTGGTCACCATTTCCGTGGCAAGCAGACTTCTAGTTTTAGTTTTAGAAGCAGCATTGTCACACCTGCAGCTTAAATCATATCCTGCCAACACCATGACACTGTAACCATCAGTTTAAAACCAGGTTAAAACTTCCTCCCCATTGTCGATGTTGCTTAGTTTGTAAAAAACTACAGAACCAGAGATTATGCACATTCTGATACTTTCAGATCAATGCATGCAATCATAAATAAAAGCGACTTTGGGAGATCCTTGATGTTTATCTACGGCTGTCATCGGGTCTGAAATGGGTCATGCAAAAGTATTTTGTTCTTATTGAATGCTTGCATGTTAACACATCTACAAGGCTAAAAATAAACTGCACACGTTAGCTTGTGTTAGTATTCACCTGAAAATACCAGTGTGCAAAGTAAAGCCTTGAAAGCACGGTAGCAGAATTTCATTCAGTTTACATCATAACAAACTATATCTGGCAATACATTGGGGTAATTTAATGTGCACTGACATGAGGCCACCTTAAAAATAGACCTATAATGATAATTTCCAGTTCCATATTTTATTCTCAGACTCTAAAAAAGGTTTCCATGAATCTTTATTAATCTTACAACCGTATGCAAATGTTTAAGTATTATTTAACCTGGTCATGCTTTGGGCAAATTCATATACTTAATGACAAAATGGTATGAATGATTTCTTTCACTTTAATATGCACCCATATAGTAAATGAGGACTTCATAAATTAACTTTCATTATATTGCATATTTATGTGCCTTTGCGATTTACCTGTATGACAGTACATGACAACAACATACACTTGACAAAAATGCGTGGGCATTAAGAGACAATTTTTCAGGCTTGAGTTAAATGTGTTAAGTACATTTATACAGCTTTATGAAGCATAGAGGTAGCTTCCGGCTCAAAAACATGAAGGTGTGGAAGTGACTTAAACCTGCGTCCCATCTGAAGGCCACTTGATAGCAACAGCTGTGGTTGCAAAAGGACTTTCAGTCCTGTAGAGGTGTGTGGTAAACCAGCGTTCTGACTTGACCTCTGTGAACACTTAATTGGTGAGTTTATGGGCTCAGTTGCTTGTTTTGTTGTCTTTGTCATACATTATTTAAAAATGTAGAATTATATGATCATAACATGGTAGCTACAGTCACCTTGTGTACTGTCTATGGCAGGGGTGTCAGATATTACGCCCTAAGCTCAAACATAAGACTTACACTTTTCATAGGTTTTACATCTTTGCCTCTTAGTGAAGAGGTCCCCCAGGACCATTCACACTACACCAATGTAGTTAACTACTATAGAAATTTGTTTTATTATTACAGGACAGTCTGGGCAATTATATATTAAGATATTCCAGGGATTAAATATGCCATTACACTTCTTTACACCGAGACTGAATGTGGCCTATACTGTAAAATGAGTTTGACATCCTTGGTCTATGATCTGCTTTGGCTCCTCCTCTTCCTTTAAACCCACCTTTCTTGTCATTGACTTCTTCGTGTAAACAGGAGGCTTAAGCAATATGAAGGTGGACCTTCGATTTTCACAGCCAATGCTGTGTGCCTGATGTGACCCTAATAAGCTCCTTTCTCTGACATCATACAGAGCCAGGAAAAAACTGTTAGAAAACACCCATCACTGTAGTAGTGACAGAAACAGGGCAAGACCATATATTTCATGTTTATATAATGTGTGCACTTTTTTAAAGTTTCTCAACAAGATTTTTTAATATTTTGAAGCATGACAAATTTAGGCACATGAGGCAGACTGTATCTTACCACGTTACCTAGGTTACTCTGTGTGGTGTATTTGGTGTAAATATAGTGTTTCTGAGCTCTCCTGTAAAATCAGTTTCCTTCTAATTAATCTAAGTTCATTCATTTGCTATAATGAAATGCCTGCAGAGCCTGCGAGAAGTTGGAAAATGTTGAAAAGTAACAGCCTTTTTGGGGAAAACAGCATTCATTCTTATGCAGATTTATGCAGGTAGATGCTCCAAAAACAATCTACACCATATGGGGTAGACTGAGGCTGCAGGGCTAAAGCGATATTTTCCTGTGTGACAAGGGCAGCAGTGGAGAGAGAGAAACCCCAAGGCCCTGGAAGGATGCTGTCATCAGGATGAAGTTTAGGAGATCCATTACACTGAGGTGTGATACACTGTTATAGCAGAACACATAATAAAGAAACAATATTAGCATTGATTGAATTTGTAATCTTAATATTTAGATTCAGGTGTTTTTAGTCTCATTGGTACCGGCGTACAAAGTTAAGCCTCAAACATTTGCGACAGAAAGAGTCGTTGTAAAGATCTCACTTAATTCAAGAGTACCACAGTAACGATTTAGGAATCACAGCAACTCTGGTATGAAGTATACAAAGCGGTGTTGCCGAGGTAAGGTGATGGTGTGTAAAAGTCACCAAGACCCAACATCTGCAGACCCCCCCCCTGGCTTTAACGTCAGCAGAAGCGTCATGGCAGTGGTTTCTGAGCAGCTCCTGTAGGTGTGTAGTGTATGTGGTCCTATACTTTGTCCATGTAACATACATAACCACAGTGTAACCAACTCCTCTATGAAAGACTTAACAGAAGTGAAAATGATCAGCTTTGAAAAGGTAAAATTTATTGCAGGGGGTTGCACTGGTTCCTGTGACATTGTACAGATGTTAATGTTATTGTATCCACCCGAGTATTTTTAAACCCACAAATCAATTCATGATCACACAAGTTTACAATAAAACCAGATCTTCTCATGTCCCCCATGCCCCAAATTAACTTAGGTGTAGACTTTCTTTTGCATTTTTTACATTGCTTTTTTTTTTTTTAAACATCATTAAAAAAAATTAAACATGAGAGGAACATGAAAAACACGATAAATTACAAATTGAGGCATTTTAGAAGAGCCATGTGCCCAACTGCAGTCACCTATCAGGAAGTTAATTTTGTTAGTAGGAAAGTTATCAGCACAGCAGGTTTTGGCTTGAGGGAAATAACACAGCACCTAAAATAGCCCGCTTATCTTCACAGAAAAGATCATTTTTGATTAAACAAAATATCACATGTTCAATTGCTGGTTTGCATATTCGTCTGAGCCGCTGTGAAGTGCAATGGCGCCTGTTTTAGAGACATTAACCACAACGCACATGGGCACGCTATGTGCTACTGCAATACAGATAAATGAACAATAGGTTCTGTTGCAACATAAAATCTGCCAAGCCACAGAGAAAGTGATAAACAGTTTAGACTGAGTTAAAAAAAAATAAAAAAAAAAAAAGCTGGAAAAAAAAATGCAAATGACTGATATAAACAGATGTCAGAAAGTCCACCACAGCCTCGCTTCCAGGTAACCCCCCGATGCCACTTCAATCTGTGACATCACCACAGTAGCTTCATTTAATCAGGGAGCTTTTTATTGGTTACTCCTCAGCTTTGGGTTCTGGTGGCGCTGATGCAGAGCTCGCCTTGGCTGTCGCTCCTTTGTTTTCACTGGCCTTCTCTTTTGCATCCTGACTGTCGATCTTGGCATGCTCCTTCTTCACCAGCTCTTCCAGCTCTGCCTGGAGAGACGTAACAAACAAGAGCTTTAATGCAGCTGAGTCACTGAGATATGGAGCCCAAAGTGGTGGCAACAAGAAAAGCTACAAGACAAACAGCTCAAGCTTTTTTTTGTTTTGTACTGCGACACCTCTTCCATCAGGAAAACCACAACTTCACAATGATCTACAATAGGCTACCTTGACACTAGGATGTTTTTGCTGCTCAAACACAAACAAAATAAATAAGAGCAGTTAAAAATCTTTAGACACATTGATGATTTTGTTTAGGAAAAAAACAAAATAATCAACACGTTGTGGGCTGCATAATCGCACAAAAAATCTAAAGTTCAAAATTTAAATCCGATCAGCTCAGTAATGTTTATGGCCTCCACATGCATGTACACAACATTCTAAAGGCCTCATGAGATGGTGAATGACGTCCAACAGGGTCTCCCTGCTGCTGTTTGGCTGCTTCAGATGCACCGATATAGGATGTCCCAAAGGTTCTCAGTTGGATTCAGTTTTGGGGCATGTGAGGACCAGTTAATGCCATCAATGCCAGCATCATCTAAGAACAGCCTATGCACTCTGGCCACATGAGCACGGCTACTGTCCTACACCAGGAGGAACACAGGATCTTCGCTGGCATAATGAAACTTTCATCTCAGTACCTAACAGTAGTAAGCACTGTTGGCTAACACTGACTAAGGATATGCCTCCACAGAACATCATTGATCCTCTGCCAAGCTGGTCATATCACATATCATTCACCACAACATCTCCAGACTCTTTCATGCCTGTCACATGTGATCCGTCTGATCCTGCTCTCATCTGCAAGGAAAATGGGTCACCACTAATATAAGACTTCCCAGAGGTTCTCAGCTAGCAGGTCTGGAGTGACAGACCCACCACTTCCTCTCTTGCAAAGGTTAATCGAGCTGCATGGTGCTGCACTATCAGCAAAGGTCCCACTGAAGGACATGAGGCCCTCGTGCTACCCTAATGTAGTCTGATTCTGACAGTTGTGTTAAATATGTATGAGTATGCGCTCTTGTTCCTCCTCCCACAAAAAAGCAGACACTGACCCTCCTGCTAGGCCGGCTTCTACTGCCCTGTGCTGCGAGGCACAGCAAACATCTGTGTGACAGCACTTATGGCTGTGCCTATGAGCTGAACTATCTGTACAATCTGAATTGACTGCAGGCACTGTGTCATCCTAACAGCAGTGACAAGGACACCAGCAAAATGCAGAACTAGATCAAAAAAGTTAACAGCCAAAAAAAGAAAAAAGGTAAGAAATGGTCCACACGCAAAAAAATTTTTTTAGTGGTTGTCACCTCTACAGTACAACTGTTGTCACTCTCATTTGCACCAAAGCAGGTGAAATGGACTCACAGTGGTTTCTGCTTCCCAACCAGACAGACTGATACCCTGAAGTTAAAATGACTTTATGTTATATTTTGATGATCAAGTGTTCCCATCACTTTCTGAGCAGTGTTTACTTGTTTTAACCTTACACATGATAGGCCTAAAAACATAGCAAAAACATAACATAGGACAGCATCCTTGAAAGGGGACATGTAACTTACCTTCCATCCCAGAAGATCAGCTAGAGCCAAACATCCATCATCACAAGTACTAATGTGAGCTACATCTCTGGAGAGAGAGGCAAATAAATAGCAACGTGTTAGTGCAAAACAACTTTTTATTTTTTTTATTATGACAACACCAGCACCGCTTATCTTTTACACCATAAACTGAGCTGCAAATAAGGCAGCAATGGACACCTTACTGAAGAAAGCAGTTTAAAAATAACCATCATTTTAATTAATTTGCTTTTTGTTTGTTTTGGCACAAGATGCTAATAAATTAAACTCACTGCTTCCACTAGAGCTTTCTTGGTCATTTAAGGCAGCGGTCCCCAACCCCCGGGCCGGTACCAGTCTGTGAGGCGTTTAGTACCGGGCCGCAAGATTTGAGGCTCGGGTGTGAAATTTATGGTTTCAGGGTTTTTATTGTTAACCTGGTTTCCCTGTGTCTTTTCCCGTGTTGTAGTTGTGTGTCTTATTTTGAAAGAAATATTTACATGTTACCATAGCGACCAGAAAGCTAAGGGGCAGAGAGAAGGCTGTTAATCTCATGTTGTTGGCGGATTTTAGGAGGACGCTGCTAATAAAGTTACACAATTACACAGTGAATGCACGTTTATTATTATATTTACAAAATATCACAGTTTTTGTCTTGGTCGTGAAATCTTATTTTGTTGTATTTATCCGCAAAACCTTAGAGGCCGATCCGTGAAATTATTGTCTGACATTAAACCGGTCTGTGGCGCAAAAAAAGTTGGGGACCGCTGATTTAAAGGGAATCTGATAACTTTCGATGACTTTTGAGTTTCATAGAAACTTTTTAGCAAGTCAGATACTGAGCAACGTAGTTATAAATTAGTTCAATCATTAATGTAGTGAGTAGTATGAAAAAAAATGTAGTATATTCAAAGTATATACCAATTCCATTTGGGACAGAGATAAGTCTTTGGTGCCCTCTGGTTGTAAAATGGTGGCCTGCGTGATGTGTGTTCATTACTTTGTGCATCAGTCTGAACTTACAGCATACATTTCACATAAAAATAACTAAATCATAAAACAAAAAAACATTTTCCTGAGTATCTGTTAAACTGTATTTGACACATATATTGTGCAGCTTAATGTAAAGGTACAGCTACAGTACACTGCACTCATTAAGATCTTTTGTTTATATTAGTTTGTAGTAAACGGCAAATGCAGAGTAAAGCTATGGAGAGGAGTAGCTGTGTCTCATTATCACCTGTAAGCCTTGTCTGAGTCAAAGTCCATCCCTTCGCCGAAACCAAACAAACTCATCATGGGCTTAACCTGCACAGAGACGCACATCAACACAAGCCTGCACAAAGAATCCAAGAAAGAAGCAAAAGGAAGTGGTGAGTGCTTACCTGCCCTGATTTCTCCATGTTAATGAGCAGTCTGGGGCAATTTTTTGAAACCCTAAATGAAAAAGAAACACACAAAATAAAGTTTTCACCAGATGTACATGAAATTATAAAATGTGGTTGAGTGCAAACGCTCTCAAACAAACTCTCCTGCAGGTCTGTGGTCTACTACCAGACAATTACTGTGGCGATCTCTGTGCTCAGACAGGAATGTGAAAGTTGAACTGCAGTA